TGCTCCTGCTGCTGCCAAATCCCTCAGTCCTAAGAGCTCTGAAGCTCTTCACTCTGAACTGGCACTTGCTGCATGAGCACTTGACACCTGTGGACACGGTCCAGTGACTTCTGCATAGCATGCTTCTAGCTGAAGTTTATTTTCCAGAAATAAAGCTTTACCAGTCTTTTCATAAACACGTTACCTTTGTCAGACAGTTCTTAACACTAAGTAATAAACATTGAAAGAGGCATTGGTTGGGAATGTGGAATACCATTTACCCAGCCTAAATATAAAAGGAACATGAGGGCCAGCCTGACAGCTCTGCAGACTAAAGCACCTGCTTAAGCAGAGCACAGCGGCTGGGGTTCGATCCCTGGTGTGCCACGCTGGCGCCGCCCATGGGGTGCACTGAGATGACGATTGAGACTAGGCATGGTGGCGCACGCCTGTAATCCCAGCTCTTGGGAAGCTGAAAACAGGAGAATCACTACGAGTCCAATCTATGTAGTGAGACCCTGTAGACCCTGTCCTAAATACAGAAAAAGAAAAAAAGCAAGAAAATTTAAAAAAAAGAACATATCTCTGGCTTCATCTGTTGTTAGTGTGAGTACATGTAAGGCCATGCATGGATGACCATGTCCTTAGCTAACTTTGCAAAATGATTTTCAAAAAGTTTAAGTGCAAAAGATCTCATGCATAAACCAGTTTTTATGTGCCTTGGTTACTGAACATGCATTCAGAGTCAGGCCGATATATTCCAGTGGTTTATGTACAGAAAGGTGGTATCGCCAAATCTACACTGGTTTTATTTTTTATTTATGTATTTGGTACAGGGTCTCACTACGCAGCCTGAACTTGTACTGATTCTCTTGTTTCAGCCTCCCCAGTACTGGGATTAAAGGCATGCACCACCCACCATGCCCAGTTTTAGTGGCCGGCTTGGGGATCCAACCCCGGGCCCTTGAGCTTGCCAGGCAGGCATGTAGACTGCAGAGCTATCTCCTTGGTCCTACAGGTTTCAAACCACACGCTGTCTTTGGGATATTAATGCATTGGCTTGTGTGTCCTTCAGGTCCAGCTGTGTACTTGAAATCTGAGTTAATGACACTTGTGGTGGTGACTGTGCCTCGTAGCATGTGCTTTCTCTCCATTTTCATGAGTGTCCTCCCTCTCTCGCACAGCCAGGGCTGGTGGTAAATCACCATGCAGACCACACCTTAAGCAGTTTCTGCCAGTGGCAGTCTGGCCTGATGGGGAAAGACGGAACTCGCCATGACCACGCCATCTTACTGACTGGCCTAGACATATGTTCTTGGAAGAATGAGCCCTGTGACACTCTGGGTAAGTCCCTCCAGTGGAGCATCAGCAGTGTGTAGGGGGCCCCTCTGGTGGGGTCAGAGGAGAGTCCATATTTTTGTGCCTGCCCCATAGCTGTTAATCATAGCGACTGCAGAAAACAGTTGAGAAGAGACTCACTGTGTGAGCTCCATGGCTAAATGTAAGCGAATGAGTGGTTTTTCTCCTAGCATGTGCGAGGCCTGGGGTTCAATCTGCAGCATGGGGTGGGTGGGGATGGGTATTAAGGAGCATAGAAAAGTCCCTCCTAGAGCTAAGAGTTTCTGTATCTTCGGATATAGCACATACTCTCTTCCATGTGTTTCATCTTTTTGAGAATAAGAACAGTCGATGCAGGTGTGTTTCGTCCTATTACGGAAATAACCATCATTATAAATGTTTCTAAAGATTCTACAGAAGTATCATATTCCCCTTTCTCTAGCAATACCTGAGTTTTACTAAGCAATATTTTAGATGCTTATGGAGGTGGGTGTATCTTCAGGACAGCACTCTGATACTTGCCCAGGTGGTCAGTGTGAAAAGTGTGTTCTGGGAGCTCAGCTCCCTTATAAAGCTCCAGCCTACTGTGTAAGAAGGAAGTGCTTGCGGGGAAAGCAGGGTGTTGATGACTAGGCCTCCTTGGGACATTTTTACTGCCCTTTCTTTGTTCCCTAAGTTCTCAGGGAAGAAGTTGTTTTGTTACAAATCTTTCAGTAAGGTCCAGGTCTAAACATGTTAACCCTATGGTTCAGGAAGTGCTGTAGTAGACTGGCCATTTATTTGTCCTTACTTGACAGCTTCATGGACTTAGATTTTTGGGAAAGTTGGCACCTCCCTATGTGATAAGAAAGGGCCGCTGTGCCTCGACTGTCTGCCCGAGTCATAAGATTTATGCCTTTCCCTTGTTTTTCTCATGGAACCTGGAACTTTGGGGTACAGAAAACAGTGGGTGGCCTTGTGGGCAGTTCTGATGAGAGCCCTGTATACTGAGGGTCCACAGTCCCTGGCACAGGTCCCCTGAGAGGAGAGTCAGCAGCTGGAGCTGGCCTTTCCCAGGCTAACCCAAGTCTCCCCATTGCTGGTTTTACTCTGTATCCTTTTACCATATGAAACCATCACTGTGAATATGACAAAGTGCTTGTTGTGACAAATGTAAATTGGTGAATGCGGGGCTGGTCTTGGGGACTTCCCAAAACACCCCTTCTCCATTGGCTTCTTTCCTCAGGCGCTTGAGAACACAGATGGGCATCTGTGTTGTAGGAAGAGGCAGAAATATTCCTCCAGCTGCAATAAATCCCTTCTTGTATTTTGCCCCAATTATACCCTGTGCCAGGAATACCACATAGAACCGTGAATTGTTTTCCTGAGAAAAAGACTCCTTGAGACCCTGGCAATACATCCCTTTCCTTCCCATTGTTTCGCGTCTTTTATATGCTTACCCCAGGGTTCCCTCGTTCATATTTCCCCCCGTGAAGATGAGGACAGAAAATAAACGTGCCATTCTTGTGTTACAGCACTGCAATGTGATTGTTGAATTTCTGTACTCACAGGATTTGCACCCATCAGTGGAATGTGCAGCAAGTACCGCAGCTGCACTATTAATGAAGATACGGGACTCGGCCTGGCCTTCACCATCGCCCACGAGTCTGGGCACAAGTGAGTCCATCTCCCCAGGAGGGGAGCCAGCTCCTTTCCTAACTGGATGGTCAGCATAACTGAACACCCACGCACTAAGTCTGTGGAAGGGATTCCCAGACCTCCAGCAACAATCGCAGTGACTGTCTTTAGTGCTCCCGTGAGTCTCAAAGCCAGGGCAGCGCACGTGTTCACACTTCCCTCTCTGGGTGCCTCTCGCGTCTTCTGCTCACATGGTGCCTGAGGCTGAGGTTAGTTGTATCTGTCTGTGTTCCTCTGGGCTGTGCTTTGAACCTAGCTCCATGAATTCATCTCATTCTATAGTAGGGTGCTATCAGGGGTCTCCAAAGAAATGAGGACGATCAACTCCCGTTGCTAACTGCTGCGACTCTTGAGTTTGTGTTTAGTAATTTGTAGGGATATTATGTTTGGGTTCGGGCAGGGCTTGGGAGAGTGGATGCTGAAAAGATCTAGATGTTATTAATGGAAGCTGCTATCCTTAGATAAAATGTTTAAGCTAATTATGCATGCTGACTTAAAGTGAGGCACGTTTTTAAAATTTAAGGACCCCTCGGCCACCCAAGCAGCAGCAGACTTCCTACCATGCAACACAGAAGGGGTACAAAGTGCTTTCTTGCTATACGGATTATTGTGCAATTTCTAGAATTGCATACACCTAAATCGGAATCCCAGTTGTCCTGTCTATTGTTTTACTTTCAGCCTGATTCCTCTGGCAATGGGAAACCAAAGGCAGTGGTGATGTTCTATGTTTTCACAAAGCTGATGCTTCATTCTCTTTTGGAAAACTAGACTTGAGGCGATAGACTCAGAGCATACAGGACCGTTCAGCGCATGCGTGGGGGTGCGTGCATGTACGTGCGTGTACGTGCGTGCTTCTGTCCACGGAATCCCGGAGACTTTCCTGGCTTTGGCTCTGTGCGAACTAATGACCTGAAAATGAGACTTTGCATCCCATTTTTTATCCCTTAGTCATCACAGGTAATGATTGACTATTTCATTGCTTGAAAAATTGTCCCTACACCTTATAAGGCTTTCGGTTAAATCATGATTACAGTTTTAATAGTCTGCTAGAGTTAAAACTTCAAAAACTTTCATTATTGTAACAACATGAGGCTCTCGCTGTCCTCTGAACCATACCTGAATTTAATTAAACGATCAAGGCAAGAACTCTTTCAATCCCCCAGGGCCGAGTCCATCGTGCTCCGTGAGCCGCTGAGTTGGGGCGTGGGCAGCTCTGGCCGCTGCAGCTGGTGGGCTCAGGTCAGCTCCAGCTCGATCCATCAAAACCAGGGCCTCTGGTAGCCTCCGACTTAGCCTGTGTCAGTATTGGCATTTGCCTTTCTTAGCAGCCAGTGATTAATATTTCCACTTCAAACGCAGCCTGGGCCTGGACGGGTAAAGAATTTCCTCCGAATAAGGAAAAGGCGTTTTCTGCTGAGTGTGGGGATAAAGCGGAGAGCAGAGGAAGAGCCCTGCGCCGCGAGGAAGCCAAGCCCCTCACAGTCGCGTGGATCTGCGGGGCTCGTGGAACCCTTCTTGCGCGTCTGGGGTGTGAAGGCTTTGTGCATCCGACAGGGCAGGGAGCTCGGGAGAGTTGTGCGATCAGGAAAACAGTTTCTGATCACATTGAGAAAGTCGCAAATACGTGTTCGTGTATTTAGCATTGCTGAGTTCTCGCATGAGTGTCAGCAATAACCGTACTAATAATCTGGCAGTAGTGACAACATTTTCTTTAGTCTACCAGGTAGGCAATAGGCAGGGAGTGATCAATTTAACGAGGCGAGTTGGGGAGGTACTCGGCACATCTCAGTTGCTTTTGCGTGCCCACTCCCTCCCTCTTCTCTTGGTCCCTTTCCGTTTGCAGAAGCTCCGCGTCCCTACTTCCTGTTACCTATTTTTCTTTTACTCTTTAATTTATTTACATTTGGGGTTTGCATTTCTGTAAAGCGCCTAGAGCCTTTCGCACATAGTCACACTGCCCAGGACAGTCTCTCAGGTTGCCTTCCCCAGCTGAGGGAGACCGTGGGACGAGTCCAGGGGGTGGATCTGGCAGAACGGGGACGAGCCAGCAGGGAGGCAGCGCGCATGCGCATGGGCACGAAGTCGGTCAGGCGAGCTGTCAGAGGATAAAAGCGGCGGCGTGCAAGACTCAGGGACACAATTTCATCAATTTTACTGGAATCGAAGGCCACACGTGTATTGAGATCATTTATTTATCATTTCTTTAAAAAGAAATTACCTGTGTTGGGTGGTGAAACACGGTGACAAGAACAGGGTGCCTTCATCTTCGGCAGTGAGCTCCAAAGAAAGTCAGACTTTTGATTTCTACAATTTAAGAATTAGAAAAGTAATTTTATACCTGTTGGCACTTTCCTGTAAAAGATCTGTAAATATCCTGTGAAATTTCCTTCTTGATTTCTGAACACAGAGCTCACCGTTTGTGGGAGGGAAGGCTGCTTCTCCATGCCTCTTGTCTTCTAAGCTTTGGCTCAAAACAAGGTTTCAACCTATGTCCCCCCAATGGACTGGTTCATTTCCAGTGTTTGCATATTAAAATATCTTGCAGTTCCTGCAAAGGAATTTGATCTACAGAGCAATTGCCAGGAATAAGTGTTTGGATCAGAGTTGGAACCCAGAAGCTGGGACTGCAGTCAGTACATGCCTTCTCCCCGAGCACACAGAGCTGCACCCAGATGGCTCTTCTGCCAGCAGTTTCAGGAATTCCCGGCTTACGTTCAGTCGCTAGACTCGGACGTGTGGCTGCTCAGTGCGGGTGGTGAAGATCGGGCACAGAAATGCCAAGAGCTGAACTCCACTTTTTGGAGAAGCTGGGCCTGAATCCATGGGACAGTTCCCATTTAAGTGAAGTCATGTTGTGTGCTGGGTGGTGCTCTGGGACTCATTGCAGAGGGACCTTGGCACTGCCACACCTCACAGTGACAAGCAGCTGTGCCCCGTGCTTTGCATTTTTGTAAAGCTCGTAGAGCCTTGTCCACAAAGCCAGCAGAGCAAAGCATGTTCCTCGGATGTGCCCTGTTGCAGGAGCAGGAGTGTTGGAGCCCCATGTTTCTATAAAGCAGTACGTTCTCATACCAGAGCACTAGGACACCATCAAAACACACTTGGTGTGCTCAGAAGGGCTCATCATCCATTGTTTTGTTTCTTACCTTTCTCTGAATCTATAAATGCACCGCCTCCACTGGGCCCAGTTTACATTCTCCCGGGGAGCATTGTGTAGCAGTCTGTTGAAGACTAAGGATCTGTGCCTTCCCCAAACCCAAGAGAGGACAAACTGGACATGCCAGGCAAGGGACCAGGAAGTGAGGGCTGTGTTTGGGAGGAGCCTACCCAGGGAAGGCAGGTGAGGCTTCTGGAAAGGATCAGAGAGGGCATCCCCATGGGGTAAGCCACAGTTGTCTTCAGTTGTTTAGCTGTACTTTCCAGCAATGTTGGATGCTGGGCCAGTATTGAGGATGATATGTACCCCACAGTGTGTGACTCTGCTCGCTCACCAGTGTGGATTCCTTCCACTGGGTCAGGAAGGCACTTGGTGACATAAAGGAGGGTATTGGAGAGAGCCTCAAGAATGCCAGGAGTTTGTGTGGTAAACAGTGGAAGCTCTGCATTTCTCCTTGTGAAGCACATGGTGTCACGTACTCTGTACAGCTTGGGGAAAAAGCTTTATCACTTTGTCTCACACAGGAGGGAAGTGAAGCTCAGGGATAGATAATCTGCCCACTGTCAAGCGGCTCTTGTCTGAGTCCCACATCTCCCCAGCCCTGTGCTTCCAGCCATGGCCCCATTGGTCTCTTGAGTCCCCTCTAGCTGCTGCTTGCGTCTCAGCCTCCTATGTCCGTGGGGGATGAGGTCTACAGGAACTCTGAGCCAGTGCTCTGGGCACCCCAGTCCTCAGTCACCATCCTGGTGGCCCTGGCCTCCAGTGGGTGTCACATTTCCCTACTCATGCTGTCTTCAGACAGGCTGAAATCATTGATTTGATTCAGTCACTGCAGCCCTCTGATTTGGTCAATTTCCTGGTTGGTGAGACACAGCACTCGACACCATCAACCAAAGGAGAAGTTTAGTTTGGCTCACAGTTTGCAGAGGATTCAGTCCTTATGTGGGTGGCTGGCTCCAAGGGACAGCATCACAGATGAAGAGAGCTGCTTTTGGGGAGAAGAAGCTCATGGTGTGGTGACCAGAAAGCAGAGAAAGCAAGAGAGAGGCCAGGCTAGGAGGGAGACAAACACTTCCTGCCTCACCCCTAGTGACACACCTCTTCTGACAGACCCCACCTCCTAACAGCAAGCCCACCGTAAGCCCCTCTGGCCCATTTGCCTTCCAAAACCCCACTATTGAGAGCATGAGGCTCTTGAGGGGCATCTAGAGAGAAACCATAACGTCACCATCATCATGGGGATTTTATTAGTAATGAACAAATACACATAGTGTCTGAGCCATTTCAAAAAACACTGTGGGGGACATTAAAAGAATCTGACAATAAATGTAACTGTCAGATTCAGTATAAATGGGTTTATGTTCAGTGTTCCCATTAGTATGACAGCTGGAAAGATTGCCTGCATTCAGCCCACAAGTAGGAGCAGCTGCTGTGGTGTTGAGTCCCGCTGGCGGGGCCTGCCAGAATGCACAGGGGAGCCTCGGCCCTTCAGAGACTTCCGAACTTCCAAAGATAAAGCAAAACTATTTATTATTTTATCATGTTGGGTGATAACTATTTTAAATAAAGTGTTATAGTACCCAGAAGCAAAAATCTATCTGGGGTGTGCAAGATAAATAGCAATTATATTTCTTGATGGTCAAATACCAGTCTTATCTTCGAGATGTGTTCTAGTCATTCTTCCATGACTTTGCTGATGTTAACTACTATCGAATGCGATCCCTGGGTGGTCTTTTTACATTGAGGTGCTGGCATGCAGCACCCTGCAGACTGAGAGTGGTGGACTGGTGGGAAATGCCACGTGTGGGAGAGCGGGGCTCAGGTTTGGTAGGTGTAAGAATTCCTGAAGATGGACTAGACTGTGGCTGGCTGCCAGGTCCTGTCTTAGTTACTTTTCTCATGGTTGAGACAAAAATACTTGAGGCCTAAAGTTAAGGGAGGAAAGGTTAGTGTAGCTCACAGGTTATAGAGGTTTCAGTCCATAACAGGCTGGCTCTAAGGCAGGTGGGCTTGGCACCGGGAAACAGTTCATCCTGGCCAGAAACAAACAAGAGATCTGAACATCTTTCTGATGATTGTATGTTGCATCCAGGCTGCCAGGATTAGGGCAGTGCCAAACTGATCAGTGGACTGATTTGGTAATCCCCTACTCTGAATCCTAGCCCCTTTAACCCTAGCATTGCACCATGAATCAGTCACAAATTCTTGATTCAGCCACCCCTACAAAACCCCCATGGAGGACTGCCTAGGTTTGGACAGGCATCTAGACACAAGCCATGAAACTAGCCCTCAACCTACTATGGTAATCAGAAATCTACCAGGGCAGGCTGTTGCTAGCCACACTGTTCATGGCATTTCTCAGATCTGCCAGTGCTTAGCAGAGTTTGAGACCTGGTGCTCAAAAGAATCATAAAAAATACCTCAGGTGAAAGCATTTAAAGCCAGGTGTGCCGAGACCCGGGGCACTGTGATTTGCTTTTCCTTGGAGAGGTAGGTGGAAGTGTTACTAACTTTATCAAGGCCAATTGCTGGATCAACATGCGCTCTTCGTGAGCAGGCCAAGGGCCAGCCAGGCCAGGGTGGTTTGCAAGTTTGTTTCCACTGCTTTCTCTCCAGAGCAGTTCTCATCTGGGATTTCAGCCCGAATCCTCTACACAGCCATGACACATTTCCTGTACCATCTGGCCGCCCTGGCATTGATTAATGACCTTTAATAGAACTTCAGAGCATGGGTGGAGGCTACAGTGACCACATGCACACCACCCTTGGTACTGACCAGGAATTTTGCAGAAACTGGGAAGCAGTTGCCTTCCAGATCTCCTTGGAGACACCCTCCAGTCCTGCTCAGGTCCTGCCACTGCAGGGGACCTGCCTGGCCCTGCCTACCCAGTGTCCAGGCTCCAGCTTTGTCTCTCCGCAGCCCTCAGTCTTGTGACTATGGTGTTGTTCCCGCCTGACAGGGGCAAAGTGAGGTCTAAGTTAGAAGAGGTCATGGGGTTAGCAGCCTGCCTGTGAAAAGTGAGAGCTTCTAGGTCTTCATTATTATTCATGTCTGCCATGCAGTTCTACGTAAAGCAGTTAAGGACGCCCGTGTGTCTTCCGTGTCAGCAACAAGTGCACGTTCTCCCTTTCCCTGATGGAGCCATGGCCCCTGTGGGCATCTATTTGGCCCTCCTGCTTCGTCTGGACCCTCAGCAGCAGAAAGCCTCAGATCTAGGAACCGCCTTGTTCTGTTCTTCCTTTCCCTCTTGCTTTTCCCTTTTCTGTCTGGCTCATTCCGGAATCACTCTCGAACAGTGCCTGGGTACCAAACACTGGTGGCATTGGTCTCCAGGGATCTATGGATTTTAGTGGAGGTCTCAGGGCCAAAGGGAGGGAGCTCTTGTGTCCCGCAGGTTTCCTGTACTGCGGTGTGCTCTCTCCCCCAGGAAAGCTGCAGATGGCAGTGGGGCTTTCCTGGAGAAAGAGCTGTAGGAAGTTAAGTGGCCGTGCAGGCTTTGGTGGAAGTGGGTGGCAGGCAGGTCACTGTGCTTCTGCAGGTGCTGAGCTACACATTTCACGAGTGTCCGGAAGGGGATGCGATTGGCACTGTGGGGTGTGGACAGCTCAAACAGCCCATTTTAAAGGCACCTAGGCTGCTACAATTTGACATGTCCTTATTTTTTTTAATGTATTTGGTACCAGGTCTCACTGTGCAGCTCCAACTTGTAGTGATCTTCCTATTTTCAGCCTCTCCAACACCAAAATTACAGGCATGTGCTGCCACCCCCGGCCTCGTTGGCCAGCTCAGTGCACCCAGGGGCAGGGCCGGAATGCCATGTGGTGCCAGTGACTAAACCTCAGTCCCTGCACTTGCCTAAGCAGATACTTAATCCACTGAGCTATCTCACCAGCCAGGATACCCTTATTCTAAGCAGACCTGGAGCCCCAAACTAGGCTGGTTTGCACTGCAGAACAGGTGCAGCCTCAGACAATACCCAGCGATGAACCTGGCATGCTCGCTGTTGGGCTCCTGTGCAGATACTCCCTCCAGAGGGGTGGAGGAGCTCAGGCTGAGCGGTCACATGGTGCCCAGCTGGCCCAGGCTGCAGTGCTGCAGACCTTGCTAGAGGAGGAGCAGCCAGAAGCACAGCTGTGTAGGCCAGCGCCCGGCTCCAGCACAGCGTGCAGTCGAACGTAGTCTGTAGTTTGCAGGCTCGGGTAGGCTCACATCCAGGGTCTCTGCTCTAAGTCAACAATTCCTAGCTGAGAACCTGCCTTTTGCAGCTCGAACATTCTAGGAAGCTGTGGGAGCCCTCACGCGCAGAGGAGCACAGGGGCAAGAAGAAGCTCAGAGCATGCCAGCTTCATCAAGATCACAAAAGAACTGTCCTCCCCGCCCCCAGGGACCAGCACCCCTGTACACCTGCAGACATTCCAATGCCTGGCCAGCCCCCCGGGAAGGCCTTAGAGCACATGACCGCTCATCCTCATGCACATGACCCACCGTGCATACCAGGCTGCGGAGTCCTCATGACGTGTATTCCGGATGCTCGCAACGCTGCTCGGCTCTGTAGCGACTGTCTCTTTCTTTCCCCTGCAGCTTTGGCATGGTCCATGATGGAGAAGGGAACATGTGCAAGAAGTCCGAGGGCAACATCATGTCCCCTACATTGGCAGGACGCAATGGGGTCTTCTCCTGGTCACCCTGCAGCCGCCAGTATCTGCACAAATTCTTAAGGTAGGCGCTTCCTCAGCCAGCCTTGTGCTCTCCCTGCACCTCCCCTGGTCTCTGTCTACTGGGCCTTTCTTGGATGCGGGGCTCAGGGTGTGCTTTGCATGGCTGTCCTCGCCGCAGGTGTCTCCCCCGTGTGACCTGGGAGTTTGCTGTACTCCTTATGGTGAGGAGCCCTCCCGGCTCTGGTCAAGGCTAACCTGTAGAGTGAATAGAAGCACCTGAAACACTTAACAAACCAAAGTATTTATCATTTACATTAAATTTTCTTTAAAATTTTCACTTTTATACCAAGGTATCTTTAGTCAATTCAAAAGAAAGGAAGACCTAGTCTGTATATTTCTGTGTACAAGGTAGGATCAGGTAGGACTAACCTCGGCTTTTTTTTGTTAAAATGTATTTATCATTTGATGAGAGATCATATAAATTTTTATTTCTGGCTTTGAATCTTTTAATTTGAAGAAAGGTGTTCCAGAAAGTTTTACTATAACACTCTTTCACTTCTAGATGGAATACTGAGGAGACAGAGTTTGGCTCTTGAAAAAGTAACTGGTGGCTTTTAATTGATTTTTGGGAACAAACTTTGAGAGCTGTCTGTAGGTCTACTAGTGCTCCACAGCCCACTGACTGTGGGGTCAGGTGCTGCTTCAAACCATAAACCAGGACAGGCTGGGAAGATAGGTGCTACACAAACCAGGCTCTGCCCATGAGGGCTTCTCTCTCGTGCAGGATCCAGCTGTTCCCTGCAGCCAGTGGGGACTGAGACAGAGCGGGAACAATGGTGTCCTACATGGAGGCTCAGATAGGGACAGAGAAGTGTCACCTGCTATAGCCTTCAGGAAAGGCTCAGGAGACTGGCAAAGGTATCTGTCTCTGACTCCATCGTCCACCCCAGGTCCTGTTACAGGGAAGATTCAACAGCCCAGGGGTCTCTAAGGCCCCCAGACTCTAGAACTGATCTGTCTTTACTGACCCCCAAGAATGTGGTTCAGCTGGTATCCTTGCAAATTTATCTGCTTCCAAGATAAAAATTTTCAAGACCTTTCATCAATCTTTCTACTAAGGTTTATTTTGCTTGCAAACCAGTGGCAAACTGGCCCTACTTCATTGAGTTCAACCTTGGTCTCTCACTGGCTTACTACTTATGAAACTGCCTTGTTTGACATGTTTTCAGCTTCCTGATTTCCAAGTAATCAAAACACTGTTACATCCTCCACCAATTAAGTGGCCATCTGCATAGGATTCCAACCATGAGTAAGGATAAACAGCTAGCTCTAAAAGATGAATCTGCTCTTCTTAATTAGCAGTCCTGTATTTGGTAGATGGGAAGTTATGATGTATATGAGGGAACTCAAGTGGCCTGATATTGTCACCACAACTGTTCTCCATCTGCGGTAGCACCACGGAGGACAGATGTGGAGGTGGAGACTCAGTAGCCCAGGCAGCAAAGCTGAGTGTCATTTACTGTTAGTAAACACAGACCTCATCACGGCTCCTCATGTCTGCACTTAGGAGATCTATGATTTAGGGAAAGTTTAGCTCATTATTTTACCTTTCATGACAACATGGACTCATCTCCAATTTGCTTCTCAGAAATCAGATTCATGTCATACAGATCCATAAATATGCCACCCTCTGACCCCATGAATCTGCGTGTTTTATTGCCCCAGAAAGGAGACCATCGCAGGCGCTGAAGTCTGAGGGTCGCCATGTGCCCCGCACATCGTGGATGCCTTCTGATTATGAGAAAGGAGGGCGGCAGGGAGGAAATCGAGGGCGGAGGACTGGCGTGCTGACCAAGGTCATAGCGCTCACCTCTGGGAAGGCATTGGATTCCGCAAATAAACCTTTCCCAGGGCCCCCATTTTCCTACTTGGAAAATGAAAAGGTACAACTAGATGATGTTTCAAACTCTACAGTAGTATGGTTTCATTCATTACTTAGAATGAAAAAGGATTTTGAAGTGCTGTTATGGCACTACTTGCCTTAAGGCTTTTGTTAGCATTATTTTTATTTTATTTGTTTACTTTTCTTTTTTTTTTTCGGAACTGGGGATTGAACTCAGGCCCTTGCGCTTGCCAGACAAACACTTATTCTACTGAGCCATCTCCCCGGTACTTTGTTTACTTTCATTTTCATTTTTTATTTTATTTTGTGTGTGTGTACGCAGGGTCCCACTACGCAGCTCAGACTCATAGTGATCCTCCTGTTTCAACCTCTCCAGTGCTGGGATTACAGGCGCATGTCACCACACCTGGACTCGGTCACCAGCTCAGCGCCCCCAAGGGCAGGGCCAGCATGGCATGTGGTGCCGGTGACCAAATCCCAGCCCCTGCACTTGCCACAGCAGGTGCTTAGTCCGCTGAGCTATCTCACTGGCCCTAACATCATTTTTGATGTGGTACAAGACATATAGAGAAAAGCATAGAGTGTAAGGCTCTCATGGCCAGGGAGATATAGAATAAGCGCTTGCCTGGCAAGTGCAAGGGCCTGAGTTCAATCCCTGGTTCCACCAAAAATAAAAAATAAAATACTGGTAAGGCTTTCTCTCCATGGAACATAGTAGCATGACTTGTCTCCAGTCACAACAGAGCCTGGTGTGCACCTGCCTGTTACCTCCCTTCTCTGCCACACTTACCAGGCTCCCAGCATGGCACCCCATCTTCGGTTTAGCCAGATTTTTTACTTGCTGTGTTGGAAGCCATGAGGTATTACTCTGTCAGCACGAGAGTCCTCCTCATGACCACCTTTACGTATAGCAGTGGTTCTTACAGGAAGTGGCTCATCAGTGCTCCTGGCTGGAGACATTTGAGTTTGGAGTGTCTGTTGTTGGGGAGAAGGTCGAGTGAGGATACTGGTAGCCTGCACCTGAGAGCACACGGGTGCAAGCCCTCAGTCCTCAGTGTGAGTGTGCAGCTTCAGCAATGGCTGCCAAGTAGCTGTAAAAAGTCACATACCCAGAGGCACTTGTGAACATTCGCATGGCCCCCAACCTCTGCCAACGCCTGGTCTTGTGGTGGGCGTATAGTGCCACGTTCAGGTGGTGACTGGTGAGGTTGAAGACCTTTTCATGCGTTTAATGCCCATGTAGGTAGCATCTTTAGTGAAGTCCCTGTCCACACCCCCATGCCTTGCTAACTCTGAAGCCTTCTGTCTCTCTTATCTCTTCATGGAGTACTTTACACACCCTGAGTATGAGCGTGTGCACTCATTTTGGAATATGTATATGTAAGCATTCTCTCAGCAGTCACTGTTTCCACTGTTAATGGTGTATTTGGATAAGCAGGCATTTTTGGTGACGTCTGACCTACTCATATTTTTCCTTTATAGTTGATGCTTTCTTATATATTACTAAGAAAAAAATTCTCTGTTTATTTCAAAGTTGCAAATGCATTCTTTCATGTATTCCGTCTCCTACAAACTTACAGTTTTATTAAATGTAAACAACCATTTCCATGCATAATTGTCATTTGTACACATTTTAAGAAAGTATCTGCTCACAGTTTTTTGGTTGAGTTGTCTGTTTTCCTTTTGCATTGTAGGTGCTATTGGTATATTCTGTGTGACAACCTCTTATTGCATATGTCTTTTGCAGATATGTCCTCCTATCTGAGGCTTGTCTTCTCACTTGCTTGAAGCCATGGTTTTTTAATTTTAATGAAAGTTGCCTCATCATTAGGGCCAGCAAGATAGCTCAGTGGACTCAGCACCTGTTTAGGTAGACACAGGGACTGGGGTTCAATCCCTGGCACCACAAGCAGTGCCAGCCCCACCCCTGGGCATGCTGGGCCAGCCAAGGAGACCATGCATGGTGGTACACATCTGTAATCCCAGCACTGGGGAAGCTGAAACAGGAGAATCACTAGGATTCCAAGCTGTGTAGTGAGACCATGTAGCACATACATAAAAAAATTTAAAAACAAGAATAAAAAAGTTACTTCATGAGTGATATTTTTCCATGACTTTTTTTTTTTTTTGTGGAACCAGGGATTGAACTCAGGCCCTTACACTTGCCAGGGAAGCGCTTATTCCACTGAGCCATCTCCCCAGCCCCTTTTCCATGACTAATGAATCTGTAGTTTTCATACTTTCCAAGATCACTGAGATTTTTCTGATATTTTGTTAATGTAATTATAGTTTTGTATTTTTCATTTAGATATCAGTGATCAATTCTGAGCTGATTTTTGTGAGAGGTTGAAGGGCTGGTTTCCTGAAGGAGGATAGTGTTATAGAGAGAGGTTAAAGGATATTGCTTAGCTAATTTTTTCTGTATAATGTAAAGTATGGATCAAGGTTCTATTTTAAAGCCCAGCATTTTCAGTTCTTTTTAATAGAAAGTCCAGACTTTCATTTGAATTAAATGTGTAACTTTGTCAAGAAGTCATGACCATGTAGGGCTTGTACCTTTCTGGAATCTCTGTTCTATGTTGCTGATTTGTATGTCTGTCCTTCTGCCAAAATGACCATAGCTTTATTATTAATCTTGAAATCAAGTAATATGAATCACATAATGTACCTGGAATTGTGTCAAGATTCTTTTTTAACACAGAGATGTCTAGTTATTCAGCACTATTTGTTGAAAAATCTGTCCTTTCTTCTTCTTTCTGTGACCTCTACTCCCTTGTCATGGAGCAGTTGATTGTATTTGTGGGTCTAATATCAAACACTCCAATCTCTTGCCTTGATCTGATTCTCTCATCTCGTCTTCTTCTTCTTCTTCTT